ACACACACACACACACACACACACACACACACACACACACACACACACACACACACACACGAGCAGTTCAGATGATCCAGACGTTTAAAGACATAAATCAGCTGAAAACAGAAAATAAAGTTTTTTTTCTGCTCAGAATCAAAACAAAACTTCACAAAGTCTGAAATGTTCCGGTTCATGAGTGATGTCATCAAACCGTCCCAGGTCCTGACAGTACTCATCAGTACTCATCAGTACTCATCAATACTCACAGAACATGTCAGTACTCCCAGTACTTGTCAGTACTCACAGAACTCGTCACAGAACTCATCAGTACTCCCAGAACTCGTCAGTACTCACAGAACTCGTCACAGAACTCATCAGTACTCACAGAACTCGTCAGTACTCACAGAACTCGTCAGTACTCACAGAACTCGTCAGTACTCAGTACTCACAGAACTCGTCAGTACTCACAGAACTCGTCAGTACTCAGTACTCACAGAACTCGTCAGTACTCCCGAGCCTCTCTGAGCTCCAGCTGGAACTCGGGCTCTGGGGGGTTTTCTGGGCACTGCAGCCCGTTGTTGGGGGGTCTGACTGAGTGGAACCGGCTCCAGTCCCCTTTGCACAGGATCCAGGGCAGGACGTCCACCTTGTAGTGCAGCTCGGGGGAGAACTCGGTGCTGATCAGGTCCGGCGCTCCCGCCCCTTTGCCCCGCGTGATCAGTCTCATGCGGCCGTCGTAGCAGCAGTGCTGCTCCGCCAGCATGGTGCTGTCGTAGGACAGCATGGAGCGGATGCAGAACCGGGCCGAGGGCTTGTAGATGTCCAGCCKCTCCTTGGCGCCGCTGGCGTCCCTCCAGCGGTACGTCTTGCCGAGCCCGGCGTCCTGGAGGTCGACGGTGCCGTAGACGACCTCGGAGGGGTAGGAGCAGGGGCAGCTGGGCAGCTCGGTGAGCACCTGGTGCAGGTACCTCTGCAGGAACTCATTCCTGCAGCTCAACCACTTCTCACAGCTGTCCACATCTGGATCAGAACCATCTGGATCAGAACCGCACAAAGAACTTCAGTCAAACCTTTGTAAGAAAAATTATTTACAAAACTTATAAATGTGTGAAATAAAAAGTGCTAAATGACTTCACTGAAACCTGTTAAAGAAGCTGAAACAGTTATTAAAGCTAAAATAAGCAGAACAGCAGCTAAAAGCTCAAATATGCTAAGTGCTAGGTAAAATAGGCAAATGGCTAAATCTTTAGCTTAAAATCCAAAGTAGTAAAATGTTTTGATTTATTGTTAAAATAATCAAAGTTAGCTAAAAGAAGCTGAAAATAAAGTTACATGAYGCYAACAACTGCAGAGCTGGARSTAAAAGTAGCAAAAAGCTAACTAGAAGTAACAAAGGACTAGCTAAAAGCTGAGTCAAGTTGAGTTATTAAAGCTGAAATGAGCAGAACATCAGCTAAAAGCTCAAATAAGCTAAACGTTAGGTAAAACAGGCAAAAGGCTAAATGTTTAGCTTAAAATCCAAAGTAGTAAAACGTTTTTAACGGTTAAAATAATCAAAAATTTAGCTAAAAGTAGCTGAAAATAAAATTAAATGTTGCTAACAACTGCAGAGCTGGAGCTAAAAGTAGCAAAAAGCTAACTGGAAGTAGCAAAGGACTAGCTAAAAGCTGAAACAGTAAATAAAGCTAAAAATAGCAGAAAGCTAACTGAAATGCAAAAGTAGCAAAACTTTTTTCTTTACCTAAAATAAACAATGTTTGTTAAAAACAGCAGAATGATAACTCAAGCTAAAAGTAGCAAAAGGTTAGCTATAGATTCAAAGTAACAAAGAGCTAACTAATGGCTAACAGCATAATTCGACAACATATAAAAACAGCAAAAGGCTAAAAATAAAAATGTAAATAATTTGAAGAGCTGTTTATGAATTAAAGTGTTTAGAAGCCGTGTTTCCTCCTACAGCCCAGAATCCCTGAAAACACTGAATCACTTGTTTTGAATGTTGGGACAGATTAAAGGTGAAAACAGACGTTTCAGTCAGATAAAAAGCCTGACTGTAGGACATGTTTTCCTCTCAGCTGTGTTCTTTTGTTATGTTTGCAGAAGAAAAGGAATAATCTCGTTCTCTGGCTGTTGGAGCAGCAGGAGAGCAATAAAACAGAAAATATTCAAACATTTCTGGGAGGCAGAGTCCAGGTTTCATTCAGCAGAGCGGCTCTCGGCCTGCTGGGAAAAAGATGACCTTTAATAAAAAACAACATGAAAAACAGACGCTCTGAGGGTGAAACTTTGACCTGACGTTTGATCCAAAACAAGAAACAAACACAAAAAGACCCAAACGAACCAGAGTCTGTGCTGTTGGTCTGCAGAGGCATCAAGTCAGTGACTGTTATCACAGAGTCTGTAAAAAAAAAAAACAGTACAAAACATCATTAAAGCTAAAAAATCAACTCCAGCACCGTTTGAAGTGTAACCATGTTTTTAAAGGGATCCACGATTATTTGTAACATTAGACTTTATTTGATAAACATTTATTTTAACTGTAAAATAAAGACTGTAAAAATACTGTAGGATGTTTAGTTTTTATCATTTTTAAACTAAAATTTTAAAAATACTGTGTATTACACGGACGGGGCCATTTTATTTACACGCAAAGCATTCTGGGTAAATGATTACGTGGATAGGTCCTCGGTGCGAAGC